CTAGCTATCTTTTTGGAGTCTCAAGGCCAAGCTGGAGCAAACGGATCCAAATCATATCTGGGATCGCAAGGGGCCTTCTTTACTTGCATGAAGATTGTGCAATGCAGATCATCCATTGCGATATCAAGCCACAGAACATACTCCTGGATGATTCATTAACAGCAAAGATTTCTGATTTTGGATTGGCCAAGCTTCTATTGAGTGATCAAACCCGGACTAATACTGCCATCAGAGGGACCAGAGGATACATTGCACCTGAATGGTTCAAGAACATTCCAATCACAGCCAAAGCAGATGTTTACAGTTACGGGGTGATATTACTGGAGATCATATGCTGCAGGAAGAATGTTGAGCAGGGAATGGAGGATGAAGATGAATTTGTTCTTACTGATTGGGCTTATGACTGCTACAGGCATAGGGAATTGCATAAGTTGTTGAAGAGTGATAAGGAGGCAAGAAATGACAGGAAAAGAGTAGAGAAGCTTGTTATGGTGGCAATTTGGTGTATTCAAGAGGATCCTTGTTTAAGGCCAACTATGAAAAAGGTTATACAGATGCTTGAAGGAGTAATCGATGTTTCTGTGCCTCCATGTCCTTTCCCCTTAAGTTCTGTCTGTTAAAAGCCCATGTAATTCCGTTTTGATTGCAATGGACTTCATGCCTTCCCATTAAAACGTCAAGCATAAAATTACATGCGAAGAAGGGTGAGGAAGAGGAGTTTTTTATTACATCGCATTATCAAGAGCCTCGCTATGACCAATAGCAGTATGCATTTAATTGAAAGCATAGAAGCTTGTCGCTAAACATAAAAATGATGTTGTAAGCAGTTATCATTCTATGCACATAAAAAGATAAAGTATGTCACTAGACTTTAAATGATGCAAAAATTGTTGCTATAAGTTTCATTATGCTCATGTATTTAACAACTACAAGCTTTTGTCGCTAAATATACTATAATAAGATCGATATTTTTATTTTTTGCGACAAAAAGATCGTTGCAAAGCCACAAAAAAAAAAAATCCTTTTAGACACTCTCGTGTAGTTGAATTCACGAAAATGTGAAGCAAAATACCCAAAACTATTGTCATTTTATTTTTACTAATGCATAAAAGATTTGCAAGAGACTAAAAAGTAAGATTCTTAACGGAATTTTTAGAGGCAACTGCACAACCATATCCATATTAAGAAGTAGGGTGAAATTTGTAGTGACGCTTACATGCTGTGTTACAATAAACTATTCATTCTAAATCTGCTACTTATTTGTATTAGTGTTTTGATGGATGACTGTTGCTTTCTAATATGTTTTACAAATGGTTTTACATTTTCAATTGTATTAAGAATTCACGTTATTCTTTTTAAATTATTTTAAAATTATAATTTTTAATAAAATTTAATTTAATTTCATATAAAATTAAAGTGAAGTAATAAAACTGAAAGATAAACCATCTCAGTTTTATGTCTAGAATGCAAAATCACTTGTAGTAGTAAGATTCTCTTAATCATCTGCATATTAAATCTTGTGCTGGAATGGGATATCAGAGAATGGCTGTGAATCTTAAATGTTGCAATAGGTTTCCATCGCTATTTTATTTTACCACCGGAGGTTCAAAGGATGGAGTTTTACCAGCATTTAAGTGCATGAAATTCTTTAGTTGGGAAGCTTATTGTCGGTGCAGCGGTTACGAGAACATGATCAATCGGTACTAAAGAGATATGAATTTTTTTTTTGGACCAAATCGATTGAAAATACAGCTTGAATAAAAAAAAATGGATTATATATGAATAAAACATATTTGTTTATCTTCCTAAATTTTTCTTAAACACTTGTCAAACGTAGTGTTACAAAAGATTTATTAGTCATATTGATTCCACAACTTGAGTAACAATCTCTCATCATAACATGCCTATAAACACATGATATCTGAAGAAGTGTGGTCGTTGTTTTCTCCTTCTAACTCCAAGATGAGCAACAAAATAATATGCCACAAAAACTGCTATTTACATATCTATATATGTAGGTATGTACATGTGCATGTATATATTACGCATATATGTATATATCTATGTATATATGTAATATCTTAATTTAGTTATTATTGATTACCTGTCACAAAGACATCTGTATCTGATGGTTGTTATTATTGTTTTTGTTTATCAAGAAGATGCAAGGTAGGCCGGCTGATTCTTTATAAATTAACATAAAGATTCATTTGACCAGAAAAGAATAAATAAAATGCAAATAATTGGATTATTAAAGAGACCTGTAAATTTATCCATCAAAGTCTGTGTCCAAATACCTCTGGGATTATAGACTCTAAATTTGACCAGCCATGTTATTATTTTGTTCTTTATTGTTGCTAAACTTGACTTCCATGTCTACCTTTTTTCCTTAACTATATTTACATGAAAGATGAAAATGGTGGCCTGCCATAATAAACAGAAGGGGTGAGTCTTTTGGGTATAATCACAATTTCATAAACGTTTTTTTTAAAGGATAAACATAACAGGAAGTGAAAACTCAAGGATGTAGGTTTAATTTACCCTAAACAAAATAGTGAAACCTCTTCATGGAAATCATCTTCTGGTGATTTTGCATTTGGGTTCCCCCGCCATGAGGATCATGCTCTCTTCTTGCTTGCAATCTGGTTTGACGAAAAATCCTAGTAAAACTATCATTTGGTATGTGAATGGAGACAATCCAGTGCCAAAAGAATCAAAAGTTGAGCTCACCACTGATGGCTAGTTCTTATTTAGTGATCTGAAACATGAGATGATCTGGAGAGCTCAGTCAGTAAACAATTGGGTAGCTTATGCTGCCATGCTTGATTCCAGGAACTTTGTACATGCGTACAATGACTCTGGGTAATGCTTGGGAGAGATTCAAGAATCCAGCAGACACCATATTGCCAACTCAATAGTTGATGCAAAAAACCCTAGCGATTATGATCTCCCTGTGTTGAGTTCCAAACCTTGTACTATTTTTTAAAAACCCTAGCATATTATGTGAATGTGAGCAGTGTAGTTTCTTAACTACAAATTGAGGTTTGGCTTGTTCAGCTGAACTTCTACTCCCAGAGTAACTCAGTTTCAGCAAGTATTCTTTTAGTGGTACAAAATGAGAAATTGATGTTAAATTTCTAATGAGATTCCAAGTGGCCATGCACATAAAATAGAACACTGACTGTACCAATCAATGTTTTTGAGCTGCTATCGGGATAAAGAATTGCAATTGAGCAAAAATAAACACCAAAGGAAACATATAGATATGCAATATAGAGATATTTTGGCCGTCTCAAAGTCAAACCGCAAACATATTAAGAAAAGGGTGCCGAGGCTTTCTCCTTTTGTTAAGTAAATCTCCATGAATCAAAAGAACCAAAGTTTTGCATAGAAACAACTCTATTAATTTTGTGGTAAACAACTAACAATATAATCGTACTAATGGGTTCCGCTGGTGGTGATGCTGCTGTTGACTAAAATTTTGGTATTTACATAAGATATGGTTTGGTTCAGTTCAGTTTTGATTTTGAAGATTTGTACTAATTCAGATTCATGAGTTGAAGTCAGTTCAACGCATCAAACCAAATGCATAATGCTAAGCACAATATACCAGAAAGCTATACAAGGAAAATGAAAGTTCTATGTTTAGAACTCTATTGACATGGGGAACAACAAGATGCACTTTTGTAAAAATTTAAAATTTCCCACTTTCTCAATATATAAGAAAATCCCTAATTATAAGAGGTGTTTTTGCAGGTAGCTCACTGGGGTGGGTGCATTGTCAACCTAAGTTCAAATTATTTGTGTTCTACTTTCCCTCTATCAGTTTTCCTTTTATCTGTATGAATTTTGGGGGTCATTTCACAAAAATTGCTCTTCCCAAAGGTCTCTTGCATATTATTTGGACAGAGTGGCATACAACAAGCATAACAGAATCAGAATGATGCTCCATAGCTAGTAATTATCAGATCGCAAAAAGAGGATGGCTTTGAATTACCATTTGAATAATAGACAAACACTGCTATTATCATTGTCAACTAAAAAGGTACAGAGTATTATGATGATTAATGAAATTCAGAAAAAGGAGTCTAGACATAAAACTAATCATTTCCCAATACAAAATGGGAAGGAAGAAGAAGTTTCGTCCATTATATTCCCATTTAATCATATGGAATTTGGATATAAGCAGCATCACAAGCAAATGGGACATCAGCATACATACCAGCAAGAGCACATCGTATGCACTCCAAGACAGTAAACAGATAACCAAATGCTACAGCAGTCCAAAAATGCATTCCCAACTTACCCCAGTAAACAGCAAGAGGCATCCAACGACTCACAGTTCCAATCACTTGCAAAGCAATCTCCAATAACATCCCCATCACCACATGAAATCTAAAGAAGTGAGGCCACTCTTTTCTCCTAACTACTCCCAGATAAGCAACAAAAAAATAAGCCATCAAAAACCAGCTAGGCAACCTTCCAATGGCTCCAAGAAACGGGTAGGTCAGAAATTCAAAGTCTTCCAAGAAAGGATGAAGATGATAAGCTGTCTCAGCATACATCCAAGTTTCATGAAGAGGCATTAAATAAGGAAGACATGCCAAAGTCCTCCACCACCATCTAGGCTTCTTCGTCATTGGAGGAAATCGAAAGCTGTAAGGAACATCCTTTGACGCTCGAGTCACCAGAGAACATCCACGCCGCCTAGGTAATAAAGGCATTATATGCGAAATGCGACCTTGATCTCCACTTAAAAGCGGCATAGATGAAGCAGAAAGGTGTAAAGCAGGCATACCTGCAAAGAGCAGCAAGATTAACCAAAATGCTTCCAAGGATCAGAGTGAGAAAGAGGTTTCGGAAAGCTATATATACATACCTCTTGATATCCAGGATTTGAACCGATGGTTTGGTTCCCGTAAACTCCTGATACCTAGCAATGAAGCTGTCGGCAGGGGCTTACACGGGGTGTAATTCATGGAAACATGCCGGGAAGGCATGGTGCATCCATTGAGCATTTTGCTCATTAACGAGATTAGATAAAATGGTTTGGTTAAAGTTGAGAATTTGATGAAGTGAAAGTCCTAGGGTTTCCTGAAACCCCCTTTCGGTTTCATCGTCTAATCCTATCCTCTTCAAGCAAGACAGAAGAAGAGCAGAGAGTCATTTCGCTAATAAGGTCTAGTTGGGCCAAGTTTGGAACTGGGCTTAGTGACGTCATTTTGTATTTTTTATTTTCACCTTAAAATTATTTTAGTATTTAAATTAAAAAAATATATTTACACTCTATATATATATATATATATATATATATATATATATTATATTTTACATATTTAACTATAGTAATCTGGATATTAAATTATTGCAATGAATCAAATTTTCTAATAAATTATTTCTGTTAATTTTTGTAGGTACAATGATCATGTAGGAGTATGTATCTTATTTTGTTTTCAAATTTAAAACTATATTCACCAGTTGTTTTGATAAATTATTCTATTAAAAAAATACTAATAAAGAAATTTTTTAAATAAATAAATAATTATTATGTTATTAGTAAATTTTAAATAAAAACTTAAATTATAAACTATCAATAACTAGATTTTGACCGTAAAATGTTAATATTTTAAATTTGAGAATTATTAGATTAATAGTTCTTGAGGTTAGAATGTTATGAACGATATTAAAATTGGTCTCATATTATGTTGGATATGTAATTTTTGTTTAGATTGGATATGCTTCCTATTTGATTATATTTGTTAGGCTCGTAAGAATACCATCCATTTAATTAGGAGAGTTTGTAATACATGACATCTCAAATTCGAAGTACTACAAGAGAAGATGTAGTATGAACGTGAAATTCAAAAGATTCAAAAACACCAATAGTTAGTTAGCACTTTTGAGTGATGGACTAAGCTCGTTTTACAAATAGTAGTAAATCAAATGGTAAAAGAATTATGAATGCCCCCAATTTCATATGAGTATAATTGTTAAGTTTTATATAAAAATTTAAATTTTTAAGAACTAATGGTTTGGATTATAAAGTTATTAAACGTTTCATGACTTAGTACATTATAACATCACTAGTATGTTTAGTTAATATTGAGAATAAACACGACATTATATGTTTAACTAAAGAGAAAACTCTTTTTAAATAAATAAGTAAACTAAACACGGAGCTATTGATGAGGTCGTGATCAATTCTATAGATTTTGACTTGTAGAAACCGTACATATGATTATTAATTTCTTAAATCGAATTGTTTGCATTTGAGACCTGAGGAGTATGTTGGCAATTAATTTTGAAATGTTGAGGAGATTCGATGTTTAAGAAAGAACCATGAATTTTTTTTATTTTGTCTTTCACATATTAAACTAATTCTACTAATGCATTTTATTAAATAAGCCAGAGATACTTGCCCCATAACTGCCCCAGAGACATCACTGAAAGTAACAATAACTCGGTGTAAGGAATAGTCTTGAGTAAGCCGCAAATACCTAGGGCACAAGTCTAGACACAATCTAACCTACCTCGAGGCACATTTTTGAGCATGGCTCAACTCGAAAGACTCGACCCTGAACTTGGTTTGACAATCTTATACTTGACCTAATTAATGTAAGGATATTTAGTAAACTGTCTTCTACACAAAAGGACTTGTCCTGTATTTCCCATATTGTCTTTATAGTAGAATCTCATTTTATACTGTATTTCTAACTATCACTAAAGGCCATTAAAAGAACCTTAATATATTGTATAAAAACCTTGGTAAATCTAAAGGTCAAAAAGGTTTTTAACATTAATCTTACATATATATATATATCTTGATAAGCATACAGCCAGCTGAGCCCACATAGGAAAAGCAATCAGTACATAACTCTTCCCTGCAAATTTTGTACACAAATCAGGAAAAAAGAACAAAACTTCTGATATATCAGTTGGAAGCCAGGATGAGCTTCCTATTCTGTTCTTTTAAGATGAACACACCTTAGAATTCTATAGCTTCCAATTTTAGACCATCAAGAGAGCATCAAAACTAATTAGCTCAAATTGATGAACATTCTACCCAGTTGCTATATTAGGATAATTTGATCCCAGTTATAGTGATTATGCACCAATAGTGCAGTATTTTTTACTTTTCACAAAGAATATTCAAAAAAATAAAGTGGGAGTTAAATGTTATAGTGTTACTTTCTTTTTTAGTAGATTCTCTTCCTGAGAAGATTCGTCTACCTAGATGAGATCGGGATTTTGGAAGCTTTTTCATTGTTTCAATATATAATGTTGTGTTTGGTAAGTTCATGCTTATCTGCCATGTCAAATTTAGAGGCAATGGATCCAACTCCAAAAGATTGAAGGGCAAATTACCCTTTCAAGATGGTGTATAATTTTGTCCCTTGGAGAACTTTAAGAGTCAGTATTACAGCTTGTGAAGCCCAAACAACAAGGAATTCAAACAGATGAAAGACAACTCTTTGTTTATTAATAGATAAAATGCTGTCTTGGAATCAAGACTTGTCTTTATTCCAAGCAAAGAATTGCTTAAAAAACTATATTTTATGTTTTGTTTATGATTCTATGTTAACAACATGTTTGAAGCTTTTCGAAAGCATCGAATCCTTGTTATGACATCTGTCATAAATTTTTTCAGACTTGATCTTAACCGTGTAAAGATTAATTTGCCTTATGATACTAAGTTTAACTAATATTTTTCGAATAACCCATTAATTTATTCTCGAAAGGGCACAATGATTCAGAAAGAAGCTTTCCAAGAAAATGACACTCACAGGACTTTTCTGATAAAAGGTAAAAAATACAGACAAAAACATGAACCTCTAATCTAATCTTCCAGCAACTTCAGAATGGGTACTTGTCATTTGCTCGAGTCCTCATGTGCAGAGAGCGCATATGTTGGCACATAGTAATTAACATCCTAGTAAATAGGATGAGATATCGAGTAAGGTGTTCAGCATAGAAAATTAATTATCGGGGTTTTTTAAGCTTTGGATGTATCAAAATAACATAGTTGGATAAAAAGGGATGGTGCAATAATGCAGACAAATACTTATAGTTTGAAACTTTCCACATCAGACAAGAAGGGAAAAAAGACAAAGCCTCCCTTCCTAAAGTAAATATCCAATTGATTGATATATATTTACATACTTGTTTATTATTATCAGATGTGGCCTTGCTTTCACTTTTATGGGTTATTTCTCTTCTCTATCATCACCTTTCAAACTTTTGAGCAGTCTGGATCAACATGGGACACTGCTTCAAATATCAGTTTCCAGCAATCAACGAAGAAGCTGTATCAAACAAGCTTAAACTGGGAACTTCAAGCATTTCCAAGATTATTTCGAGCCATTTTGTGTCACCTGCTTCGGCCTTCTTTGTAACAGAAAGATTCATGGGTTTCCCACAAGGGGATCAGGAGACTGATGTTATATCTTCATGTTCCAAATCATCATTATATTCTAATCCAGTTACTCCATCAGATCAACACTCAAAATTTTCTTCCCAAGTACTTGAAAGACAAAATCTTCAATCCATCAGTTGTCTTCAATCAGTGCCTGAATTTGAACATGAAGATGATAGTCAAAATCTGATAGCTTCTGTAAAATCATCTCAAATAGCTTCTGTAAAATCATCTCAAACTTTGGAAATGAATAAACACTACACCCCTCTGCTGAATTCAACAGATGAAGATGCTGCAATGAACCAAACGCAACAGTATGTCAGCTTCGAGGAATATCAGAACCGTCGAGTAAGTTCACAAAATTTTGTTGCATTATAAAACCAGTCATCACTTTGCTGGAACATAAATAACTTATATGTATTCTTTTTTCTTCAGTTTAAGAGGACAAGCTCCTGGATTCACTCACTGAAGCAGCCTCAAGATACTCCTCTTGGGGTCATCCCTATTAATCAAAGAAATTCTATTCAATCACGAGCAATGATTTCGAATACTAAAACAAGAATAAGATGGAATCAAGAGCTTCATAAGCGATTTGTCGAGTGTGTAAATCATCTTGGAGGTGCTGAAAGTAAGTAAGAGAAAGACTTGCCGCGGGTAATTAATGAGATGTTTCCTGTTTGATAATGGTTTTGGTTTGTGATATATATGTGTATATAGAGGCAACTCCAAAGGCAATCCTTAAGCTGATGAACACCAATGGATTGACCATCTTCCATGTCAAAAGTCACTTGCAGGTTTTGTGATGTTCATTACTCAACTATGTATTCG